AGTCAGGGCCGAGTAGGTATAGCCGTGTAATAAGATAATACATAGCAACTTTCAACTGTGACATGGAAGTGGCGAAAGTGACTATTGCATCTTTTACATTATGCTGAAACCGCGTTTAGAACTGACGAAAAGGATTTCTACGTAATGTGAAATACGACTCATTCATTCATACCTATCATCCTTAAATTCGCAGATTATGCACAGCCGCAGCATATTCTCGCGCGGCCTGCGACGCATTCACTTTGTTTGCATACTTCTCCTTCCTCTGTCACGCTTTGGACTAAACGGCGAAGCCAGCGCGTTGTAGCATTTGCTTTGCCGACGCCTGGCACTTGTTCGATAAGTTTCTCGACGTCATCGCCGGACGATGACAAAAGTAGTTATTTAGCTCGCAGCATTCGAAGCTCAAAAATATGCATGCTCGGAGCAACATGAAGCTATGGCGACCGCCTGAAACAGCTAGTGAGATTTTGCGTTTTCTCATCGGTCACTTATGCCCTGGCGGTAACTCCTAGAAGGCCAAAGAGACCAAGAAGATGGTGCTAGTCGCGGTCGGTTTTGTAATAGTGTGTTAAGCTAGGTATTCCACATGTTGTATAGACTACATACTGTGTGTGTCTATCATTTAATGTAGACCGTGTATAGTTGTATATTCTCAATTCTGCTAAATCAGGATTTAAGGCACTTATCAGTTTAGAAAGGTTTAAGGCTTATTGTCCATAATAAATGTCACTTCACCTTTCCTTCTTTTTCAACGGCTCGCTGAAAGCGAGCAACACGCCGATAGGCGTGTGTGTTGACCTAAGCCTTCTTCAAAAAGTGTATACACGGACGGGCAATCCCTGTTATACTTGGTAGCACTGGTTAGCGTTATAATACCAATGCTGACTACTTCGATGGAATTATCGATGAATGATGGGGAGGTGGTCGTCTCGGATCAACAGGGAGGAATGTTTGTTCCTAACACTTGCAGTAGGAGTGTGTGGTGCAGCTGCAAGCTTTAACCGGAGATCTCGCGGTCTCGGATATGCTTCGCTTTAAATGAAGAAGCGATAACTCAATGCTTAGCAAATTTGCTGCGTATGAGCAAGAATTATTGGGATTTCTATCGAAGAAATCAACGACGCCGGCTTCGTCTCCTTCTCCACAAGTGGTGGTGACAGCATCGATACACACGAAACGCCCCGTGAAAATCAAGGTGAAAATCTTTCACGGTAACGAAGATGAAAATCTCGCGTTCTGGCAGCGAAAAATGGCACAATCACAAAGACAAATTCGTGATGACCGAAGTCAAGTGGCCTTTGCCATATCGCATTTGGATGGCCGTGCGAGAGAGTTGGCGATGACGTGGTAAGTCAATCGCCCTGGCTATTTTTTCACATGGCAAGAGCTGAAAAGGCCATGGAATCGATGTTCCTTCCATCGAATGTGGCGTTTCGATAGCGGTCGAAGTTCCGTCATGCCATGAAGACAACGGCACGTTGTACGACTATGTACAGAAGCTCCGCGAGCTTCGTGCAAGTATGGCGAGTGATCCACTGCCAGAGTCAGCGATGGTCACCGTGTTTATGGAGGGGCTCTCTAATGGCCCTCCCATGACTGAATTTTTCCGCCGGAGACCGACGACTCTGGAAGATGAAATTATGATTGCATTGCATGAGGACTACTTTCAGCGACAAGCATGTGGTCATTCGATCAAACACGGTGGAAGCAGTGCCGGAATTTCGGAAAAACTGAACTTAGCGCGGTGACTGTCCGTAGGCAGCAAATTCGCTGTTACGAGTGTCAACAACTCGGTCACATCCGCCGTGATTGTCCTCGTGAGAGACGAAGATCTCAACACGGCTCTCTTCGCAACGGTCTCGAGTCACGTGGTACTAATACCACGAGGCGTTTGGAAAACGCCGGTACCCAATAGACGCAGGGCGGTCTGCTCGGGCAATAAAAAACTCTTGAGAGTGTGGTGGTAGAATCACTCATGAGGGTTGAGCACTCAGAGGATCGCTGTCCTTCGTTAACGACACCAGTCGGAGTGGTATCCACGTGGTCACAGCGGTGTGAAAAATTACGGTCGTCCGTTTAGAGTCTTGATTGACTCTGGTGCGTCACGTAAATACGCGCGGAAGCAAAGTGCTTTTGGACGCACTATTTTGAAGTACTGGCTTTATCCCAGTGAAGTTGGCTACTGGTGTGGTGGTTACCGCGATGAAAGTTACGGTTGATCTATAAGTGAAGTTCGAAGACTTCAACTCAAAGAAAAAAACTACAGTCCTTCTAACAGGGTTACACGTACCCTTGTATGAAAGGGTGGGTCATACAAAATTGTTTTACCGTACATAGGTACGGAGTGCACAAGTTGGTGTAATCATACAATGATGTGGCTTCACCATAACAAGAAGCCACTACGTGGCAGGATTGCCAGTAGTAATGCATATTAATCAGGTTTTACTATATTGATTAGGTATTACTATTAAATAAGAAAATCTGAAGATTTAGATATAGGCGGCTCTGCCCCAAATAAAACAGTTAAATACGGCTTTCAATTTTAGACGGGAGAGCGTCTTTGCCTTGATTAAGGTTTTCAAGTACTCTCGAAGGTAGCGGATTGCGATCCGCTACACTCGTACTGGTTCTTGTGAACTTGGTAGCATCTACGCCTGAGTCGTTACGACCGATCCCCTGTTAGGATGGAGCAATACACTCTAATTGCCCCAGGGCATGCAGGACGGGCTTTTTAAGCTGATGTCCCTGCTTGGCCCTGAGGGCGAGTTAACCAGGCATATCACGTGCGATCGTGTTTCCTTGCCACCCGACAGGGCAAAAATGAGTTGGTGAGCTTTGTGCAAGAGTTAAGAACTCTCAGTGCCGGGATGGCAGCCGATCCTCCCCCCCGAGGCGGTTGCAGTGACTGTTTTTATGGAGAGCCTCCGCACTGACGTGACAAGAGTGGACGTCTTTCGTGTGACTCCGTCTTTTTTCGAAAAGCAGTGAATGTGGCATTAAATGCCGAATTCAACATCAAGTCGTCACGGCTTGGTTGGAATGCACACCCCTAAAGCTCGTAGAGCGAGCCTGAGCCATTGGATCTCATCGATGCTGAGAAGAGGGAGGAGAGTTCCGAGCTGCCGACCAGCGTTTAAACTTCCAATTGTGCTTTGTCTGTAGAAACATCTGTCACCTTCGATCTCGTTGTCTCTTGCGCAAGGCGCGTAAAGTTTCATCGAACCGACGTTCGCTTCTAACCAGTCTAGTTTCTCGCGAGGAATTGACAAAACCCAGTAGGCGAGGGGCGCTCTACTGGAGAAAAATTGAGTTCTGTCGAGCATTAAAGCAATAAAGGGCAGCAGGGCCCAGCCCCGAAGAGCTTTGTGCTCTTGAACGGAACGTGTATGCAAGCCGGGCTTGCTGGTCGTAAAAGCGACCGTGAAGGGCTTTGAGAAGCCATGGGAATTCTTATCGACCCCGGGGCGTCAATCAGATTTGCTCGACTTTTCACGATCGAAGGAAATCAGCTGTATGCTGAGGCGCTATATTTTTCGGGTTTTTCGGGTGACGCCGTTACTGTTCGCTTAGCGACGGGGACTTGTGTAACTATGCTGAGGATCCCTGTAGGCCTCGATATTAAGTTCCTTGACTTTGATAGCGTGGAAGCTGCTTAGCCTTAGACTCGGATTCAAGGTATGACCTTATCCCTGTTATGGCATGATTGGAGCACCATGAGCCATTGATTTATTGGAGTTCAAAAACCTTGGGCACTTCGCGCATGTCTCCTTATGGATCTCTGGTGAGTCATGAACCCAACTCTGCTAAGAATCAGAAGCGCTATTGGCGCGAGTGCTGGACCGGGACGGTCAATGTGCTGGATATCGGACTATTCGAATTGTAGAAGACCGAAGGTGTGACGGACAAGAGTCCCGAGCATGGCTCGCGGGCTGAACGTGGTATATCCAACTAAGCGCTTGTCAGGTATCGAAGCAGTTGCTGCATGCCAAGCGTGGCATGGTCGGAGGAGGTCCGAGGCATTGAGGGCGAGGCTCTAGTGTTGCACATGGCGTGGTACGTAATCCACTGAGCAATGCTCACGTTTCGAAGCAGTCGCTGCATGCCAAGAGTGACATGGTCGGACGAGATTCGAGTATTGCGGGCTATGCCATTCTGATGCGCGTGGAGTAGCAAGTTATCCACTTGACAAACACTGTCGAGCTAGCAGCTCTTCGTCGGTGTTGCTAATAACATCAAGGCTCTGATGAGGCAGGGAGTGGGGACACTGGACGACGCCGAATGCGTGTTCTATAGAGAGAAGACGGCGATGCCGCATGTTATATGCAAGACACAGTGCGTCGATCCTGACCCAGGGTGGGACTCCATAGGCGATAGCGCACAGCTTTACACCCTCGTCAACGGTATGACGGGAAAGCAAGACGGCAACGTCACCTCGAGGCTATTCTCGCTGTGTATGCTATGCTTGAGCTGGATAAGATGCCCTTCAAAGCGTTTGGCGGTGCCTTGAAGATAGGCGATTTAGCCGAGGTGATCATTATACGACCGAACCAAGATATTAAATCGTTGTCGCTTCTGGATTAAGCTGTCCTTGTAACGAGTGTGTGGAGTGGGTGGCAAATTGAAAAAGAGATAGTGTTTATGTTTATCTTTCTGCTGATTATTTACTCGTAGTTTATCTACATATATATGTCATGCATGTTTATTGGACCACGTGTTCTTGATCTTCCAATCCGATTATAGAGAAAACAGATGGAAGGTTTACGGCTTCTTCCATATTAATAATATTCCTTCTGGAATTCTCTCAAACCTTCTACACTTTTAATTGGTAATCGCTGACTCTTTAACCGTTTTCTTGGGTAATTTGGTACACGTTATACCATCAAGACATCTTTCATTACATTCTCCTGATGTCTTGTTACATCTCATTTTTGGTTGTCTTTGATTTGAGCAGTTCTTTTGTTTAGCTCTTCGGTCAATTCCTGGAAATGAGAAAGAAAAAAATGTTTCAGATTCTTTTGCGGTTGTTGCTTCATATTCTGGATATCCGCGCCATTTCACCAAATATTCTTGCTTACGATTGACTCTTCATTTCTCTAGTAATACTTTGACGATGAACAATTATTTACCAGTGTCCTTTTCGAGAATGATTGGTGTAACTTTTGGTATTGGTTTTGACTTAAACTGTTCTGATGTTTCCTTGATATGTTTCAGTCTGTCCACGTTGAACAAATCATGCATTTTCTCCATCAACTTTGGCAATGTAAGCTTCATGTCGTTCTCAATTATGACTTGAGTGATCTCGAGTGGTCCAATAAAGCACGGTACGAATTTTAACTTCTCATTCTTGTCACTTGTCTGAGCATGTATCAATGGCAAGTTTCTGGTTGCTAGTAATAATATATCGTCAATTTTGAAAGTGACGTTTGATCGTT